CAGAGGGACTAGCTGATACCACACTAGCCAATACTTGTCCTGTTATGACACCCTCTCTTTGAAGCATAATAGCTACACTGACAGGATCAGAGAGAGACTGAGAGAGGAGTGGATGATGAGTGTTGAATATATCAATAGCCTTAGCTTTACATTCTATAGAATACACACACATAGTCAATACTAATACAATCAGTGATATTAACTTACTCTCTTGATCTAACTTGTCAGCTGCAGCATTCTCATTCATAGATTTAAGAGCATCTGACAGTGAGTCAAAGGTAGCTCCTCCTTTACTGTCAACATTATCAGCTCTGGACAACCACTTAGAGAGACACTCAGTTAAACAATCATAAGTTGTATCACTGTCCTTTTTAATGGCGTCCAGTGTGTTCTTGTGTAGTCCTAGTGTCAGTCCCAGCTCATGCCATCTTGTCTGAGGGAAACCACATCTCTTTAACAGATCAAGTACATCAATAAGTTGATCTATAAAGCAACATTTAAAATCATTATTGTGATCAATGAACATTATACCAATAGTCAAAGGAGAAGAGAAGAGAGAAGGAGAAGAGGAATAGTTGCTGCTCTTCGTTGCCATTGTTTGCAGGAAAAGTTAGGGTGGGGCTAAATATGGGCGTCGACGCGTCGCGCGCGCTGATAAAGTCATAGATATGTACGGAACAGGATAGGAAACTGGATCACGTGAGCGCATCATCTTTAAGGTTCAATCCTTGTAGTTTGTCTGAAAGTCTCGCTGCCTGATCCAACTAACAACAAGACGCTTCCTATCGGCCCAAAGGCTTTTCTTTGCTCAAAGGATGCCTGACTGGAGACTCGGCCTGGAAACCAAGAGCCGGCAGGCAGCTGGCCTGCTCGCACATCCCTGCTCAGACCTTGATCTCATTGAGCAGTGTTACTATAGCCCTTGCTAGCAACATTTGTGGTTACTTTGATCTCGTAATCAACATGTTGCTAAGAATAGATCTATAAATCAGTTCTATTTTTGCAACTGACAAGTTGCTCAAAATATCAACTTAACTAAGTAACCCATAAATGTGCTGAATTAGAGTATATGCGTGAGTAATGAGACAGATCACATTATGAG